GAGCCGGGGCTGCTCAGCCGGGAGCAGAGCGGGCTCGGGGGATCCGTGGCTGTGGCACCTGCAGGGAGGTGCCTGGAGGTGAGCCAGGCACTCCCAGGGGTGCCCAGGGACAGGACCAGAGGCCACGGCATGGGCTGGAGCCCAGAGGGTCCTTCTGGACCTGGGACACCCCCCTCAGTGCCCAAGGCAGTGATGGAGTCTCCATCCTTGGATCTACCCAAAAGCCATCTAGACATGGTCCTCGGCAACCAGCTCTGGGTGTCCCTGCTGGAACAGGGAGGTTGGACAAAGTGACCTCCACAGATCCCTTCCCACATGAGCCATGCCGTGGTTTTATGATTCTGTATTAATTTCTGTGGAGAGGTATCCTTCTCTAGTTTTTGTGTGACATCAGCTTTCTGTTGCCAGTACCACTGGTTCTGCTCCAGCAGTGTTTTCTCTGGAGTGAACCATGGGCAGTGTTTAGCAGAGGTTGGTTATCCTGCTGGGAAGCAGTGTCAGTGGATGTGGCAGGGGTGAACATGTGTGTAAGCAGCTTCACCTGGCTCTGGAAACTGTGTAGTGAGCTTTTCTTGTGCTGTACCTATTTGCCCTTTCAGCTCATAATACTCAACTGTTAAAAACAATAAAATCCTGTTGCTTCTGATGACTCAGTGTTGCAAGTATTTTGCAATCCCTGATACAGATCTGAGGGTTGTAGCGTGCTTGTATTCTGTGATCAGCTTACATCTGATACTGCTTTTCCTGTTGGACTCTGTGTCTGATCACTGTATGCTTCTTTTTATTTGAAATAGCTTCCTAGTTCCTTATTTTCTAGGCCTTGCCCTCCCTAATAAAAAAGCTTTTGTTGTTGTTGTTGTGTGCAGAGGAAGCGAGCTGTGAAATGTGATGGGGTTGTGCAGTCTTGTACCCTTTTGCAGGAGTGAAAATGTCTTGAGCATATGAGTGCAGGGGATAATAATGTGGCCTTGTACTTCTCCTGGCCTTGTGGCCACCCCTTTATAGCAGCAAAGAGATGGTCTTGGGTTCACTTGATAATTTTGGGGTGCCTGTGGTGCTAGTACAGTGGTTAATCGTATCAGTGCTGGATTGCACAGCAAGCCTGGGACAATCTTAGAGGTCACTTGTTGATCCTTCTTGCTGTTACCTGGTTTCCCTGTGCTTTCTGAGCCTGCTGAGATCTGTTGGATTGGGCACTGAGCCCTTTGCTGAGGAGGGGAGTCATGTTGTGCTTTGGAGCTTGCTCACACGCTTGCAGGAGCCTGAGCAGCTCAGTGGTTGCTGCAGGAGGAGAGGCAGAGCCGTGGGGAGGCCTGTGGGGAAAACTGAGGCACGGGCTGTCTTTCCTGCCTTCAAGGAGGAAGTGCTGAATGCAGAACAAAGGTGGGTGTGAGTTGGACACCACACAAGAGGGAAGTGTCCTCTGCAGCGTGGAGTGTTCCGGGGGCTGGGGGCTGTGATCCCCAGGCACTCTGCTAAACCTGCCGTGGGGACAGCTGGGAAGGAATGCCACTACTGCATCCTTGGCTGGCACTGCTGACAACTGGTGGGTGCTCTGACGAGCCATCCACTTACTCTGGCCAGTTCTGCATGTCCTTGAGGGTTTTAGAAGTATAACCAGCTCCCCATGTTCCTGTAGGAATGCTGATTATCTCTCTTTATGCTTTTGTTGTCAGATTGAGTTCAGCTTACCAAATACAGGTTGCTTGTCCTACCTTCTGCTGTGCTCTTCCTATCACCTGCTCTGCACAGACACTGTATTTGGCTGAACCTTTTTCTAAAATTCATCTTTGCTAATTCCCCACCAGGCTGGTCAGTCCCAAGGGGGTGTGTCTTGCAGTCTACCCCTTGTTGTCACCTTCTTGGTGGCTGAGAAAGACATGTTTGTTGTTAATGTTGGTGATATGGCTTTCCTTTGTGACCTTCATTGTTAGTCTTGCTTAATATAACCAACCTCAGCCTTGGTCCATTTGATCTCTCAGTGTGGACCAGCAGTCGTGTGTGAGTCGGGCAGGAGAGCTTGTGTCAAAGGTCCCTTCAGGTGTGTGTTCTTACCTTCTACAGTCAGGAGCTTGGGTTAAAATGAAGGCTTAGGTGAAGCTCTAAAGCCCTGTCAGTGTTAAGTGGCCTGTGCACCAAGGTGATGGACCTGCAATAGCACAGTGACCAGACCCAAAGTTTCTTGTCCCAGCATCTAAAATCCTGTCACAGGTTAAACAGCACTTGTGCCTGCCATGTTGAACACGCCTGCAGGGAGTTTTTCAGAGCTGACCTCAAGCAGGTCGTGCTGTCAGTGACACAGAGCAGGGCTGTCCATGCTCAGCTCGGAGGCACACAGGAGATTCTGGGGGTCTCATGCCATTCCTCTGCTTCTGCCCTGCCTCAGCTCTGCAATAACAGAGCAAGGTGATGCCTGTCACTTCAGTCAAGCTGCACGTGAGCTGGGATATAAACGTCTGGAACAGGCAGATTCCTTGCCAAGTGTGGTCGATCAAACCCAGCTGCAGAGCCAATCTCGGCAAGGGTGATGGAGAAACACTCCAGTGGGAATCAGCAAGTTGGGAGGCACAAGGACCAGACTACCAGAGGTGACAGGTCCCTGGCTGACCCACAGCAGCAAATTCAGAGCTACCTGTCTGTGTGTCCAAGTTGGAGATTCCTACAGACAGTGTGAGCCTGGCTCTTTCCAGAAATGCTGATGCCACTGCAGAAGGTCTATAGGACCTGGATGCAGAGGAGCTTGTTATCAAGTCCTTAATGAGGCCCAGGCAGCCATTATAGATGGAGGCTGCTGGGCTTCCACTCTACCTGCCTGTCCGGTATGGGAGTGTCTCGGTTACCACACCGTCACTGCTGAGGTTTCTGTTGATATTCTGGTCTGTGACTGATTACTGCCTCATCCCTCTCCTTAAATGGGCTCAGGAGCCAAGAACAGAGTGGCTGGATAGGGGACTGGCCCTTGCCATCCAACACGTTTGTAACAGGATTTAAAGACCCACTGAAAAATGAAACTGATCCCAACATCGCATGAAGGGGACTTTATCCTTGGCTGCCTCTGCTCCACGTTTGGCAGGAGAGGGTTCTCAAGTTTTGGGTTTGTGTTTCCTCTTACAATCCATTGTACAGATAAGAAAGGCAGAACAAATAGAAGATTCAGAAAATAGGTTATTTCCTCTCCCCAGACTGTGTGTTTCGCCCCCATGAGTTCCTCTGCCATGCCTGCAGGAATCACAAACACCTGTATGATAGTTCCTGTACACTGCATCCTTGACAGACATCAGGGATTCCCATAAACAACAATATAAATCTGATGTTAGAACAGAACGGTTTCTGAAGCCTTAAATACTCTCTTTAAAAGGCCTGGTATGAGAACTCAGTGTGCTGGACAAGCTGTGGGCACTTTGCTCCATGAACTAAAGGTGGTGCTGAACGGACGCGTTGTGATGGGGTAGGGGCTGCCCCATGGAGGGGTTGGCTCCAGCAGCACAGGAGCACGTTAGAGGACTGGACAAACTCCAGTTGTAACTTAGGAGTGTGAAATACAAAGCTACACAGAAGTCCAGAGCTCATCATTTGGGAACTGAGGAGGATCAGGTGTTTGCTGGCCACTCGAGGGAGGGTTTTGAGCTACTTGCCACGTGGGGGGTGTTGAGATCCATTGGGACAGAGTCCCCAGTAGAGAGAACTGGTGTAGTTGTGCACGACCCTGGCCAGAGCTTGTCTAAAGCAGTCAGTGTCACTGGGAAAACAGATCAGGTCTTAGGAGAAAGACAGCTTATGCTGCCTGGGGATATGAAGGTGAGAGGACCTGGTGGTGTCTGGGAACAGGTGAGCACTAGGAATTAAGTCATCTTGCTGGGCTCCCAGAATCAGAGCTAGCACAAGAACAAAAAGCAGTAAGCTACTTGTGAATGGTTGGTTGGGAAAGAAGCAGCTGGCTACTGGAGCAAGCTCTACTTCCAGCTCAAATCAGATACAATGATTTGTATGAGCCGTGCAGCAAGGCAGAGCTGAATTACTGAGGGTGGTCCTTCTTGTCTGACTACAGCCCAAAGAACATCTTTCCTCTGAGACTGGAAACTAGTCTGGTCTCATTCAGATGGGAATCCTCTTTGGTGTGGAAAAATACAAGCAGTTTGGCATGTCCTGGGTGAGCCCACGTTGTACCAGTACAGACCAGGACCGATTGTGATTGCCCAAGAGGGTGACCAGGGGGGAGATGGGCCTGAAACTGTGGGACTGGGCACATTCCAGTGTGACAGTAGAGCTTCAAATGGGTGATGGCTCTGTGCTCCCTGCCCACCTCAATGTTTCTCCCTGGCAGAGACAGCTGCTTAGTTTTAGAGGGTTGCTTGCAATCTCTGCAGAGGTTGCTGTCACAAAGGCTTATCTTTCATGGGGGTCCATACTTGTGCTCTGCTCACTATTCTTGTGGCTGCAAGTTATTCCCTCCCCACAGCTCTGAGTGATTTGTGGAGGTGCTGGCTGCAGGGAGGCCTCTGATGGTCACCTCCCTCCACTTCAGCAGCTTGGCTTAGCTCTTGTCTGAAGGCACTCTGGCACCAATGTCTTTCTGATAAGTGTAAGAGTTGCCTGGTATATCCATCCTCCCAAAACCCTGAGGTGGTGACCGATAACAGTGACTTTGGCATCTCTGGATGTTCCTTGGGCTGCTGTTCTGGATGAGTTGCTCATGACAAATGTTATAGATCTGATTGAAGTTTGGCACTTCAACTGAGAGTCATTCCCAGCTTGTCTTCTCACGAGGCAGCAGCTGTGGTCTCCAGGTTTGCTCTTGGAGGGTGATGCTAAGCTGCCAAGGAAACAGTGCAGGACTGTATTGGGGCAGGTGACTGGAGAGGAGGGCTGTGAAGAGCCACCTTAACTCCACCATCCTGCCCCTTTCCACCAACATCCCTGGAGTTGCAGGTGTTCCCTGGGATCTCATCAGGGATGGGCTATGGTTTCCTGTATCCTAAGCATTCCTGACTTTCTTCTAGTGGCACCGGACACGATTAACAACCACGTGAAGACCTGTCGTGAGGAGCAGAAGAACCTGCACTTCTTTGCCCCGGAATACGGAGGTATGGCACGGCTGTGGCCACAAGCCTGGGTTTGTTGGCTTTACTGATGCTTCCAAGCTGTTCTGTGCCTTGTTCTCAGCTCCAGGCTCCTGTCAGATGTCACATTAACAGTTCTGGGCCATTTGCCCGCTGAAGTGCTTCAGCTTCTCTGTCCTTTGGTAGCAGAGCAGGGAGAAGCTGCAGGACTGTCCCAGCCCTGCACAGAGCGATGCTGCTGAGTGCAGGGCTGAGTGATAACAGCGCTGTTTCTGTGTTACAGAAGTTGCCAACGTCACCACTGCTGTGGACATCTACTCCTTTGGGATGTGTGCACTGGAGGTGAGTGTGGAGCGTGGGCTGTGGGACAGAGAGGATAAATCTGAGGAAGGAGATGGCTCTGGAGAAACTGTGGCCATGGGTGGGTTACCTTGGTGACAAGTGTGATTTGTTCTCAGAGCCAAGTGCACTTTGCCTTGGAGGGATCCCTGTGGAGGCTCCCCTAAGAGCCTCACTAAGAAGTAAAGGGCTCAGCGATGTGTAGTTCTTCCCAAAATTCCTAACGGGTAATGAATATGGGTCTTGGCCAGTGCTGAGGTCTGACCCATTGGCTGGTGGGAACAGTCACTGCTGCCAGTTGTACATAATGTCCATGTACGCTCCCAGCTGGGAAGTGCCTGTTCCTCCTGGGGTGTCCGGAGCAGAGGGCAGCTGTAGTCCATGACTTTTTCTGGGCCAGCCTGTGCCCATCTGACAGAGATGCTGGTTGTAGTCAGTGTGAGTCTACACACCTGGTTGTAGCAGCTTTGTGGTTCCTTAGTCCTTGCAGTCAGCAGGCCCAAGTCCAGAAAATGGGAGTTGTTGCTAGGAATATTTTCTGGAAAGAATTGTCAGAAAGAGCCAACACGAAGAACTCTCAACCTGTGCTGCACATTTCATAAATGAAGCAGGAAGAGAACTGTGGAAAGATGCAACTTTCAGGAAACAAAACTTGAGTCTAAAGACCTTCTCTGCAATATTTTCCAGCCTTTCCTAGCTGGGAATTCGTGTCTGTTGTCTGTAACCCATTCTGGGTGTGTTGTGTGGTTGCTTTTGTTCTGTGATATGGAGTTATTCACAAAGCCAGGAGGGACACTGTCAGATCCTGGCAGTAATCCAGCACTGCTTCATTAGAGGATAGAATTATCAAGTAGAATGACAGGCCAATGGATCATGAGGTTCAGAATGGGGACACTTAGTGTCCAGGGTGCTGCTGGCAGAGTTCTCAGGTCTCCCTGGCAGTCTGTTGGGGTGCTAGGAGCAAGCTGTCATAATGAGGAACCACTCTCTCTGTCTCTCCCAACTGTGACCTTAAATAGCCCCGAACAGCTTGGCTGTGATTATCTCACACTTGGCAGTGGTCTCCTTGAGCTGTCTTCCCTGCAGTCTGTCATTCCCAGTGGAGTCTGATGCTCTGCTCTGTGTTTGCAGATGGCGGTGCTGGAGATCCAGGGGAATGGGGAGTCATCATATGTGCCGCAGGAGGCCATCAACAGTGCCATCCAGCTGTTGGAGGACCCCCTGCAGCGGGTGAGCGAGGGGGGTTGGTGCCCTGCATTGCTTGGTGGCATTGCTCGTGGTCTCATGCCGTTTTTGTCTTTAGGAGTTCATTCAGAAGTGTCTAGAACAGGACCCTGGCAGGCGCCCCACGGCCCGAGAGCTCCTGTTCCACCCAGCGCTGTTCGAGGTGCCATCGCTGAAGCTGTTGGCTGCTCACTGCATCATCGGGCACCAGCGTGAGTACAGAGCCCTGGGAGCCACATCCCCTCATCAGTCTGTGTCCTGCAGAGCTTTGCCGAGCTGTCAGTGCAGCTGGCTCCCCGGGAACCCCCCTCCCTGCTGCTCTGCATGGGCAAGGACCCGGCTGTGGGATGCAGCGGTGGCCACTGCGGGGCCGGGAGGGCTGCGGTGCCCAGCCTGCTCCAGGAGCATCAGAGAGCTCAAGACCTTTCTGCTTTTCATTACTTTTCCAAGTCTGGAAAGAAACTGCAATTGTTCTTTTTCCTTTTTTAAAAAAATTAGATATGATTCCTGAAAATGCTTTAGAAGAAATGACCAAAAACCTCGACATGAACGCGGTATTGGCAGAGATCAATCATGAGGACAGGGAAGGAGTCAAGATGATGTGAGTCCCTGTGGTGTGCTCTGGGGGCTGCTGGGGGCAGCAGTGCTGGGGCCCTGGGCTGAGTGCTGTGGGGTCTGACTGGGACTCTGCCCATCACTGAAGTGGTGGTGTTTCACCACTGAGGGAACCAATGGGAGCTGATGGAGCTGGAGGTGAAGGAGCAGTCGCTGCCTCTCTGGGCACACAGAATTCTGGGGAGACTTCTGGGTGGGAGGAGACCTTGCACCTGTGTCCTGGGAGCAGATTCCACGCAGCTGAGATGTGAATCTTTTCCCAGGTGGAGGGGTGGGAAGTGAATATGCTGTAGTTGGAACAGTCCTCAGTGAAACATGGCTGAATAGTTTGGGAGGGTGCTCAGACCAATCACAGCCTTGTCAGATGAAGTCCAACACCTTGGAGGAAGAGCTGCTCCGCATTTTCCTGATGGAGCAGCCTATTCCACACTCTGCACAAGGAAAGGCAGTTTGGGCAGCTGTCAGTGACACACAGCACCACTTACACTGTAGGAGTGGCTCCCTGAGGGAGTTACTGCAATGCATATGGAGCAAGTAGAGTGTCAAAAAGTGATTTTAGATAGCAAAGCCTTGGCCGCTTGAGGGATTATCTGAAAAGACTAACATGTGAGTGCTGTGTTCCCAGAGAAGCCCAGGATGCTTCCAGGGGAGCCCAGAGTTCTGAGATGCTCAAGCTACTGAACAAGAGTAACCAAGGTGACAAGGAAGAACAGCTCTGTCTGTTTGAGCAGCTCTCTGAGCCATAGAGACCCTTCTAAAAACTGACCTTTCAGTTGTCATAGTGCTAGGAAATATTAGTATGGAATTCCCTTTGGAATGTTTTTTATAAAGGTTCAGAATGGAGGACAACAAGTGAACAGCCAAAGCTGTGCAAGAGAGATCCTTTACATACATGGGATGTCAGTCTGTGTGGGTTTGGCTGTCTGTAGGCACCAGCCTGGGACTTGATTTTGGTAGTGCCATACCTCGGAGGTGCTGGAAAAGGGAAAGGAAGAGCAGCAATGACTTGAAATGTCAGAGCATCACTTTTGAGTGGTTCATCAGACTGCCATGCAACCCAAGCTGCCAGAAAAAAAAAAATTTGTTAAAAACTACTGCTGTGTTAGAGGATGGGACAGTCCTAGCTGCTGGGAGTGTGGGAAGGGCTGGAGAGTGGTCAGGGAGCCAAGGCAGGTATGCAGCCCACACCAGACCTGTGGATATCCTGTCAGGGTTTGAGCAGTTTTGCAGTCCCTGCCTCATCTCTGGAATGCTTCAGAGCAGCCTTGAGACGTGGGTTTGGCTATTCAAAGTGTTTGTTGCAACCAGTGGGCTGTGTTGCAGGTGTCTGTGAAACACCTTGCCAGGAACAGTGTCATTGGGCCACCTTCCAAATAACTGTGCATTGGACAGCTCTGCAGGGAAGTGAGACTGCTCTGCCCTAACCGCTGCCTCGTCCTTAGCTCCTCTGGGTAGTTGTGTCCTTATGGTAGGATTGGAGCCTGTCCCATCTGTGCCTGCCTCTGTCCATATCCATCCTGCCCACAGACACAGCCCAGGACATGGGGATTTGGAACTGGACCCCAAGAGACCCGAGTGGATGTTATTGTGAGATAACTTCTCATCTCAGGACGTTTTGTTTTGTTTCCAGCTTCTCACAATCTCCGGCGTTGGAGCTGGACAAGTTCCTGGAGGATGTGAGGTAAGAGGGTTTTTTTAAAGGGCACCTTTAACTGTGTGTGAGACTGGAAAAATTTCGGAGAGCCATAACCTCAGACCCTGTTACGACCCACCCCAGAAAAAGGGGAAGGGGGGGGTAACTCAGGTTTTTATTAATAATTCCCTTGGAGTGGATTAGAGTGAAACGACATTGAATAATCGGTGTTTGAAAACATATACTGACAAGGTTTATTTCAACAATTCTGTATCAACAAGCATGCTAGCAGTTTGGGTGTTGTCCTAAAACAATGCAACATAGAGATAACTTTTGCGGGGGAGAAACTGTTTAGGGGAGAGGAAGCTGAGAACACAAAAGAAATGGACATGGTCACCACCCACTGGGTCCAGCGATGCTTGAGAGAGATGGTCATGATTCACAGGCGGTGGGGGAGAAGGAGAACCCCCAAATTCTCAAAGTCACCAGTCAGTTTATATACCCTCAGCATGCTTTTGCACCTCCCTGGCATGAGGGGTTGTTTGCCTTTTAGGGCTTAGCACTGGAGGGAGGGATGGGCCCAACTGGCCACCTGAGGTGTCTTCTTGCCGTTTAGGGCTTAGCCCCTCTGAGGCATCTCCTTGCCTTTTCAGGGCTTAGTCCACCTGAGGCAACTCCTTGCCTTTTTAGGGCTTAGTCCACCTGAGGCATCTTGCCTTTTTAGGGCAAAAGTTAAAACCTGCAAACTCCTGGAATGCATAAATCATTAACTGTTTCAGTCTCTGACAGACCCTGCTCCTTTCTTGTAGGAACGGAATCTACCCCCTCACAGCTTTTGGGATGCCGCGGCCCCAGCAGCCTCAGCAGGTCGTGGTGAAATCTCCCATTGCTCCCCCGTCAGTGAAAACCCCAACTCCAGAGCCCGCTGAGGTGGAGACACGCAAGGTGAGCGCCGGGGGCTCCGTCCCCCGTCCCGTCCCCAGGCAGGGGAGCCAGGCAGCCACTCACTGCCTCTGTGCCTCTGTTCCAGGTGGTGCTGATGCAGTGCAACATCGAGTCCGTGGAGGAGGGGGTGAAGCACCACGTATGTTCCCACTTCTGGCTGAGCTGGGGGGGACCAGGGCAGCCGTGCAGAGCTCATGGCTCTGATGTGCTGCTGGTACCTGGGAGGACCCTGTGCTGCCACAGCTGCCGCTGCCGGGACCCAGAGCCCGACTCGGGCTGTGCCAGCCACTGACCCGTGACCTCAGCCCCCCCCCAGGTCCAGGCTTCCTGTGTGGGATGGTGCTGCCAGCCGTGGTTCGGGACAAAACTGGCTGAGGCTGCTGTCGGACCCCTGTGGGGCTCTGGAGGGGTGGTTCCCGTCCTGGGGGGCATTTCTGGGGATGCTTTGGGCTGGCCGTGGCAGCCTGCAGGACTGCAGTCCCTCATGAGAACTTCTGTGCCCCGCAGCTGACACTGCTGCTGAAACTGGAAGACAAGTTGAATCGACACTTGAGCTGTGACCTGCAGCCCAGTAAGTACCTTCTTCAGCCCAGTAAATAGCCTTCTGACCGTGCTGAGGTGCACTGGGGACTGGGGACTGACCCCCTTCCTTGTGTTGCAGATGACAACATCCAGGAGCTGGCGGCTGAACTGGTCCAGCTTGGATTCATCAGCGAGGTAAGCAGGGGCTCAGGTAGAGCTATAGGCCTGTATTCCTTTCTCAAAGTTCAATGATTTAGGCCAGATCAACCCTTTTCTGATGGGGAGGCAGGAGGAATAAGCCATGTCCCTGCCCTGGGGGGCTCCAGCCAAGCTCTCAGCTTTCAGTGGACAGGGCCTACCCTTAATTGTCCTTGTTCTCCCCAGGCTGACCAGAGCAGACTCACCTGTTTACTTGAAGAGGCGTTTAGCAAGTTCTACTACACTCGGAATGGATCCCTGACGGCAGTGACTGTGTCATCTTAGCCCCACGGCTCCCGGGCGGCCAGCGCGGCCTCGCTGCCTGCGACCCCTCTGTCTGCCCACCACTGTCGGGCATCCGCAAGACCCCAGCTGCAGTGCTTGGAAGCTCATCCTGCATGTGCCGTGGCTGGGCTCAGTGACAGTCCTCCCTGCCCGCCTCTAAAGGGGACTTTGCGCATCAGTATTATTTCCAGCCCTGTTTTTGTTGGGATTTTGCCCAGGTCATGCTGCAGAGCTGAGGCCTGGCTCGGGGTGTTCTGCAGCCCCACTCATGTGCATGGAGTTTGTTCTGTTTGAATTGTACAAAGTGTCTTTTGCACAGCACCGAAATGGTTTTTTTTTTTTTTTTGGTTGGTTTTTTTTTCCTTTTTCTTTTTTTTTTCCTTGTTT